AAGTAGTAGTAAAGATTTTTACATTGTTACACAAGATTTGCATTTCAAATAAATGCAAAATTCTTTTGAACTTTCTATACAAAGAATCCTAAAAAAATTTATCACAGTTAGAACAAAAATATTAAGCAACAGAAACACTGATTATAATAAAGAAATATTTTTAAGCACTATACCAGCTTATGAGAATGATTTCTGAAGGATCATGTTACACCATTTTTTTTTTCCATAAATGTGACCCTGGACCACAAAACCAGTCATAAGGGTCAATTTTTTTTTAATTGAGATTTATATACCATATAAAAGCTGAATAAATAAGCTTTCCATTGATGTAGGTTTGTTAGGATAGGACAATATTTGGTCGAGATACAACTATTTGAAAATCTGGAATCTGAGGGTGCAAAGAATCAAAATATTGAGAAAATCACCTTTAAAGTTGTCCAAATGAAGTGCTTACCCATGCATATTACTAATCAAAAATTAAGTTTTGATATATTTACAGTGGGAAATTTTCTAAATATCTTTATGGAACATGATCTTTACTTAATGATTTTTGGCATAAAAAAAAAATCAATAATTTTGACCCATACAATGTATTTTTGGCTATTGCTACAAATATACCCCAGCAACTTAAGACTGGTTTTATGGTCCAGGGTCACAAATAATTGCAGCCTTGGTGAGCCTAAGAGACTTAACAGCTTACAGACCCGAAACATGTTTATAGTACTTACACAGTCCGGAAAATAAATAAATAGTTAATTAGCAGATGCTTTTATCCAAAGTGAATTCCAGTAGTCTTATATGAGGTACAACGGTGATAACTCATGGTATGCACCACACGAGCATCGATTCAACATACTTCTGGTCACCAGCCCAGAGCGTTACCCACTACACCACACCACCCCACCCCACCCCCACAAAATGTGCTTTATTTTTTTGTTTTGCATCCATTTCGTTCTCCAACCAACACACACATAACCATTTCAAACAACAGAGAACAGGCTTTGGGCATCACCTTTATTTTAATTTAACATCCTGCTTCAACTGGTGGAGACAAACAGAGTCCCCTTATCAATCCATATTAAGGGCGCCTTCTGAGTTTCAGTCTGAGCTGGTTTTCGGGAACCCTGCGCATGAGGCCATGCGGTACAAGGCAGTAAATAAAACACATAAATGTGCCGCTGTAGACAACCAGCAGACACCAGCCCTTTCAATGTTAATAGGAGAGCATTGGTTACCCGAGTTTAAATAATGGCCTCCTGCTTCTATCTCCGGGGTCAGGTACCCTAGGTGGCTGGATTTATGGAGTTAGCAAATTGCTTTTCTATCCTCATTCTTTGCGCCTCTTTCTGTCTGCTCATCCTCTTTCAACTCAGCGCATGGATGATGGAAAGGAACAGGGGGTGATTGGCCTGCTTTTCATGCCCAGAGAGCAGGACGTGTCTCAAGGCCAGGGGAAAGCACAGAAAGACGCTCATCAAAGGCGCAACTCTACCGACACTTTCCATTACCAAGACTTTTTTGACAGCACTAAAATGCTTTATTCCAACATAGTTGGGGATGAGGCCACCGGTGAGGCTGCTGCCAGTCAAGAGTGATTGCGATGACCGAGGACGTGACTCTGCTTTTCAACTCTATGGGCTCAGAGCCGTATCTGCCTTTTCCCTTGACTACTGGTTCATATATCCGATCAAGACTAAGGCAAACTGAGGCCGTGGGTTTGCCGGCGAAAACATCAAAAGCCAGACTGGAGATAAACAAGATTACAAATTTATATAACCAACATAATATGTGACCCTGGACCACAAAACCAGTCATAAGGGTCAATTTTTTTAAATTGAGATTTATACATCACCTGAAAGCTGAATAAATAAGCTTTGCATTAATGTATGGTTTGTTAGGATAGGACAATATTTGGCAGAGATACAACTATTTGAATCTGAGGGTGCAAAAAAAATCTAAATAGTGAGAAAATCACCTTTAAAGTTGTCCAAATTAAGTTCTTAGCGATGCATATTACTAATCAAAAATTAAGTTTTGATATATTTACGGTAGGAAATTTACAAAATATCTTCATGAAAAAATGATCTTTATTTAATATCCTAATGATTTTTGGCATAAAAGAAAAATCGATAATTTTGACCCATAACAATGTTCCTTTTGGCTATTGCTACAAAAATACCCCAGCGACTTAAGACTGGTTTTGTGGTCCAGGGTCACATATGGTCCGTACCTGAGGAACTTGCAAGACTAGAAGAAACTAGACAGATGTGTTCATCACGGTCTTGGCAAGGCACTGTATTGATACTCATCAAACATTCTAGTTAGGGTTTTGTTCTAGTCCCGTAACTATTCTTTTCTGCATTGCAAGCACTGGCATTTCCTTCAGGAAATGCAAATCTTAAAACATATTTAATTATGGCACACAGAACCTTCAAACCAAACTTTGAACACGCTCAAGAAAGTTTCTCTCTTGCCGAATCTGTGTGTCGCCATAACTCCTGACAATTTTAGATCACTCCTCTAAGTGAGGCAAAACAAAAAAACAAGGTAAACTTCCCCTGGTAGTTCTCTGTGTACAAGGCGCCATCTGAGCAAATAAATAATGTAGTCCAAAAGTACATGCTGATGATGTGCAGAGGGAAAACAAATCACCAAGAAAATGAGTTACAATTCAGAGGTGTAGTGGCACGCACTGCACCAATAAATGTTCTTGTCAAAACACATTTCAAAGTGCATTCAAAACTGTGTCATCTCACAACACTTGCTGTTCATCACATACAGTATTCACATTGACGACTGCAACCGAGGGAATGGACATGCATGATTTGGGGAAGAACAAAGAAAGAGGATTGTGACGAACTAATAAATGTTGAATGATTGGTAAATGTATTTTCAGATTGCACAAAATGATTGAAAATTCATGGTTCCCGAAGTCTGAGACAAAAGAATTTCCATTTTGAGTCATTCATGATTACGGTGGTAGTATCTTTCATAGAGATTTCAGAAGAGGATTTTCAATTGTAAGTCAGGTGCCAATCCTTAAAATTAAAGATTCAAACAAACCATTTACTTGTGTACAAAAATCTAAGCCTTTCTGAGCTTCCATGCAGAGCAGAACCAGAGAAATCTACATTCACTATAGCAATGACTTTTCCATGACTTTGACGTCTCCTTTCCTAGGCCTAGAAATCACACATTTAAAATTCCCTAATATTTCCAGGTTTCTTGTGTTCTATAACCCTGAATATGACAGCAAGGGAAAGGATGAACTTACATGATCTAAAAAAGAAAAAGGGGAAGAGGACTGTGACAGTGACATAAACTTTGAATGACTCGTGTGAATAACAAAGAGGATGAGCTGATAACTCAGAGTGATGACTCTTGATCA